CCCATTTTCAATGGGAATATTTTCCATTTTCTTCATTGTTTTTTAATAAATGGCCTTTATTGTGTTGAGGAATTTCCTTTCTATTCCTAACTTAATGAGTGCTTCTATTAGAAATGGGTATTGGATATTGTTAAATTCTTTATCCGCATCAATTGATATGATCATATAGTTCTTAACTTTTATCTTGTTTATGTGGTGGATTACATCAATTAATTTTGCAATGTTGAACCATCCTTGCATCACTGGTACGAATCTCACTTGGTCATGATGTATTTTTGTTTGTTTGTTTGTTTTTATGTTGTTGGATTGTATTGGCTAGGATTTTGTTGCGCAGTTTTGCATCTATGATTATGAGGGATATTGTTCTGTAGTTTTCTCTTTGTGGGATCTTTGGTTTGGGTATCAGGGTTATGCTGGCTTAGTTGAATGAGGTTGGGAGTTTGCTGCCCCTTTCTATATTCTGGAATAATTTGTGTAGAATTGGTAACAGGTCTTCTCCGCATTCTTGGTAGAATTCTCCAGTGAAGCCATTTGGTTCTGGACTTGTTTTGGTTGGAAGTCTCTTGATGACCTCCTCTATATCTTCTTTTGCTATGGGTCTGTTCAGGTTTTTTTTTTTTTTAGCCTTCCTGCATTAATTTGAGTAGAGAGTGAATTTCTAGATATTTATCCATGTAATCAAGATTATCAAGTTTAAGTGAATACAGTCTTTCATAAGACTGTGTTACTATTCTTTTTATTTAATCTGAATATGTTGTGATGTCTCCCATTTCATCTCTAACTAAATATTTTCATTTACTTTCTTTTCCTTTCTTAAATTTACTAGTTTACCAATTTTGACAAACTTTTCAAAGAACCCTTTTTCAAGAACCTTTTTGATCCTTTCAAAGAACCAACGTCTTGTTTTGTTGATTTTTCCCATTCTGTTTTCCAGCTCATTTATTTCTGCTCTAATTTTTTAAAAAATCATTTATTGGGAGCTCTTATAGATAACATAACATTCCATAGTTCTATCACATCACACAGTATTATACACTTGATACCACAATCACGCTCAAAACAGTTTTCTTCTTCTTGAACTCATTGATATCAGCTTCCCTTATCGTCTCCTTCCCCCACAATACCTCGCGAGGAACCCTTATTCTTAGTTTTTTTCTATAATTGTTTGTTGGGGGTTTTTTTTTTTGCTATGTGTTAATCCAGTATATCTAGTTGCATACAATTCTATTGTTTGATCCCATCAAGTGGGGTTATACGGTCATCAATGCTATCAGCTCCCCATCCCCTCTCCTCCTCCCCATCTCTCTTCCCAAACCCTCACAGAACCATTATTCCTGTTATTGTTTCTGAAGGGTTATCTATCTTGACTTCCATGTATGGAAGGATCTTAAATATACAAATGAACATATGAAAATCTAACATGATTAATGAGGTAAAGAAAGTAAAAACCATAACAGTAAGGGGAGGAAACATTAGAGAATAATACGATAGTTATGTAGTTCATCAGTGCCATACTGCACCCTGGATCACCCTGGATTTAGCATCCCTTCAGCATGGCCCTTCTGTGAGGAACTGTCCAAATATCTTCCAGGTGAGTTTTGGGTCTTCACTGCATTCGTGTCCCTTCATATTGATCTGATTGCTTGTTTTTAAACTTCTGATACCTCTTCCCATCCACACCACATGATCACATAGGTATGCTTCTTCATGTGGGCTTTGTTGCTTCCCTGCTAGATGGCTGCTTGTTTAACTACAAGCCTTTAAGACCCCACACACTATCTTTTAATAGCCAGCACCATCAGCTTTCTTCTCCACATTTGTTTATGCACCCGTTTTGTCTTCAGCAATCCTGTTAGGAAGGTGAGTATCATACAATGCCACATTATTTGAGCAAACTTGTTCTTGTACTGAAGTAAGAGTTAAGAAGAGGCCCAAAGTTCATCTGCTTCCTTGTTGCACTTATATATATGTATATATATACACACACACAAATATTTATATATCTTTTTCTTTCCTCTTACCCCACTTTTATGTTTACTCATTGTTCACCTCTAAGTAATTTCTCTCCGATACAATTCGATTGATTTAATATCACCAGACTGTTGTCCTTGTTCTAACTGTTGGAGGTGTTATGTTAAAGTGTTGAAATTTTTTTTTCTCTTTTTTTTAATTGCTATAAACTTACTTCTCAGAACTGCTTTTGCTGTGTCCCATAAGTTTTGTTATGTTGTGTTATCGTTCTTGTTTGTTTCTAGAAACCTCCTAATTTCAACTCTTATTTGGGCTATGCAATTATTCCTGTGACTATAATTTCCGTTTTCCTGGCTAGATACCTGACCAGTACAGATTTTATGGATTTTGACTAACCTGGTTTGGGTTACTAGTTACATACCTAGTCACTTTAGCCTGAAGAGATATGATACTTTAATAGGACATGGTCTTGTTGACATGCCTAGAAGTAGTCACAGGGTCAATCCCACCAAAACACATGAGCTGATAATGGAACATAGGCGGTTCTACAAGGAAATATGTGAATGGGTGCTGGAGAGGTAAAAACCAGTTATTTACTGAGTCACCTATACAAATTGGTCCTCTTATTATTGTCTATCTTAGATCCTCTATTTCCATTCTTTCATATAACCTAACACCATCTTCAACTATTCTATGTGTTTTCAGTTTGTTCATCCTTACAATTTAAAGAAAGGATTGTGTCTTTCTTATTCACCATGGCCAACAAGGGCCCAAAAATGTCCCGGGGTCATGGAAAGTGTGGGAGCCTGTACACACATGTACACATACCATGGCTTTGAGATTAGTCAAGAGGATTACATTAAAACAGAGAATTATGGTGGAATTACCAAATAGTAAAAATCACTTTTTCATTAAAACTTGTGGTACAAATGCAAGGGCAGACAATGCAATAGAACAGATTAGCGCTAACCAGTTGCTATCTCTTCAGGTGGCACTTATAAATACTGATACCAGAAGGGTGGGGAGAAGAGTGGGAAAGGAAGGGAGAAAGGGGAAACCGGTCACAATGATCGACACATAACCATACACCCCTCTACAGGGGGGAGAACAACAGAAAACATAGGGGAAGGGAGACAGCGGTCATTGTGAGATATGAAAATAATAACAATGTACAATCTTTCAGGGGGTTGTGAGGGTGGGGGAGGAGGGAGGGTAGGGGAAAAAGGAACTGATACCAAGGGCTCAATAGAAAGTAAATGTCTAGAAAAGAATGAGGGCAACATATGTACAAACATGCCTGATTCAATTGATGTATGGATTGTGATGGGAGTTGTACAAGCCCCCAATAAAATGATTTTTTTGAATAAAAAAAATAAAGAACAAGAGATCATATATCTATATAATATATAGCTAACTCAAGAATCTTCTGGCTTCTGATTTGTTGCCCTTAGAAAGGAAAACAAAACAAAATCCATAACAGCTTCATCCGATACAATGAAGAGCACTAGTCAATAACAAACATTTGTTAATGGTGATGCCAGGACTTAAATGAACTAATGTATATAACCCATTACATGTATTATGGAAAGGTTCCTATGATACATGCATATTTAGAGAAGATCTTTATTGACCTGCCTCTACATAGGACCACACTCACTTGTCTCTAGCCAATAATTTAAGAGCTACAGAAAAATAATTTAAAGCCTGGATCCGATAGGGCTGGTGGATAAGTATTGGGCTGCTAACTACACAGTGAGTAGCGCAAATCCACCAGCAACTCTTTGGGAGAAAGATGAAGGTCTCTGTTCCCATAAAGATTTACAGCCTCACAAATTCTGTATGGGGTCACCGGGTGTCAGAATCGATCTGCTGACAGTGGGTTTATATACCTATCAGAAGTCTTCTTCACAGTTAACCCTAACATTTGCATTTTACACTTTTTCTTTTTCCTCTTGACCTAGGGTATTTACCATAATAAATTTCAACAGCATTGGGTCATAAAACCAGACATTCAGACTAACTTGATTTTCAAGCAGATGGAAAAGTCTGTGTTTGTATCCAACTTTCATGAACCTTGTTAGGATAGTATGTTATAGATGTTTCTATAGT